CCTCATATATATATATATATATATATATATATATATATATGAGGGAGTTATAATTGCATCGATGTAACTTTTACTAAGTATTACACCGCTTAATAACTTTGTATTAATTGGGAATTTTGTAGATCCAACTGTTAGATTGAAAGTTTATATCACTTTATACGTGTATATCAAATTTTGTTAAAATTGAATAACAACTGGAAGGTAATCAACATGTTCATATTTTAGTGTATTCTGAAATGAATATATTATGTCAATTTTATTTTATAAAAATGAAGTATCAAATCATCTTGGATTAATATTAAACCTTGTATATATGATCTAAGAGATATGAACTTTCAATCTAACAGTTGGATTTACAAAATTTACATTTAATATAGAGTTATAATAATACTGGTGTAACTTTTACCAAGTATTACACCGCTCAGTAACTGTTAGATTGAAAATTCATATCACTTTATATGTGTATATCAAATTTTGTTAAAATTGAACAACAACTTGAAGGTAACCAAAGTGTTCATATTTTAGTATATTTTGAAATGTATATATTACATCAATTTTATTTTATGAGACTGAAGTATCAAATCATTTTAGATTAATATAAAATTTGACATATATGATCTAAGAGATATGAACTTTTAATCTAACGATTGGATTTTCAAAATTCACATTTAATATAAAGTTATTAAGTGGTGTAACACTTAGTAAAAGTTACACCGGTGTCGTTTGAACCCTCCTCATATATAAATATGATAACGGTTTAAATGAAATTGGTATACATTTTATCGACTATTACATTGTTCAATAGTTTTAGGGGGGTGTATTGGATTAAGATTTTAAAAGACTTTTTTAGTTGAAAAAAGTCTTGTGAATTTTAAAAGACTTTGGAAGATTTTCATGACTTTTAAAACATGCAGTAAGACTTTAAATCAGGATTTTAATGGATTATGCGAGACTTTGTAGAGTTTGTAGAATTTCATGGATTTTTGACATATGATAAGAGTTCAAGATTTTTTTTCATACATTCGAATTTAAAAAGAGTCAAAGCTAAAAATAATAAAAAAAACAACAATGTATGAATAAATAATAATAATAATAATTCTTCGTAATATCATGTCATCCTAAATAACATTATTATTATTTCTATATCTTAGATATTTAAACATTCATTTATTCAATTCAAAAAATGTTATATGGTATAAACAAACATCTCAAACTCAAGAGTTAAATGTGCTAGTTAACTATGGTAAAGACCTCTAATTTCATGATATCAATTTCAGGTTTTACCTTTCATTTTTCTTGACACGTGTTTAGGGATGACAATATGCCAAACTTTGAATATATAAATTTGGTCTGTTCTACAAAATTAAAACCTAAGCTTGATCTATTATCTTTGATAGACTTTTTTTTTATAAACCTAGCATGACCATTTTAAAGCCTGGTCCAGCCTATTAGCTTATTTAAATTATTAATATTAATTAGGTCAATAAAGTTAATTTTTAAAAATTAACAAAATTATTTTTAAAATATAGTGTACTCAATATTATTAAAATTTATTTTTTAAAAGAAATATAGAAGAAAAATTGAATCATTTTTTGTTGAAGGGAAAATTCATACGCAACCATGTATATTGATATATACTCATGCACAGATCGTAAGTTTATAAACCTATAATAAAAAAAATGTATAAAAAATATTTTAAATTTTAATAATATATTTTTATTTTATAATTTTATTTATTTATTTATATTTTTAATAATATATATATATATATATATATATAAATTTTCTTATACTATATAAATAAATAGATTAACCTATCAAGTCTAACAGACTTTTCTATAAGTTTAAGTCCAACCTTTTTTAAAAGCCTAAACCTAGCCTTTTTATTAAAAAGGCTAGGCGGTACCAGACTTTAAAGAGGTCAGGCTGTAGGCCCCTGTTTAAGGATTGACTTATTCTCATCCCTACGTGCATGTTATAAAAAAATTAATACTTAAAAGTTAAAATTTCAAGTATTTTCTATGTTATATATCTAAGGAACAAGTCCAACTAAATAGAACAAAATAAAGTAAGTCAATTAAAGAGAACGGATAAAAAAATAGAGTAAGTCAATAACACGGTCATTTATGTACTAGAGTTTCACCATATAAAGGAATGAAATAAAAATAATAGTATAATATTATATATGAGCAGTAGTGCAATATTATTAGCAGAGAAAATAATGGAGAAGACAAGAGCATAGAAAAAAAAAGAGATAAAAAACTCACTTGAAAATTCTTGAAGTACTTGAAAAGTTACGTCAAACAATCCTCCAAAATCTGATGGGTTTGGATAGGATTGTTTTATGAATTTTGTATTTATAAATATTACTAAAAAGTCCTTCAAAATTTTTCTAATACAACAATTATTTAAAATTTTTATATTTTTGAATACCAATAAATTATTTTTAAATTGTAAAAAGTCTCAAATGAAAATTTTAAATGTGAAAAATTTAAAATTTACTATTAGATTAAAAGTTTTTTCGCACAAATTATATATATACAAAATTTTATATTACTCAAAGATAACTTAATAACTCATTCTTATAAAATAAATTTAACGTAATATATACATTTCAAAATATATTAAATTATGAACACTTTGATTATCTTCGAATTGATGTTTAATTTTAAGAAAAATTGATATAAATCAACAAATTTTACATTTAATATAAAATTACTAAACAATGTAATAGTTGATAAATGTTATATCGGTATCGTTCAAACTCTCGTATCTCTCTCTGTCTCTCTCTATATATATAGAGAAAAAGAAAGAGAAAGAGGATGGATCTGCTTATTTCATGAGTAAGTCTATCTAGATTTACTCCATTTAATAATTCATGTTTTACATCAAATTTCAACGATCCAACCATTGAATTAAAGTTCTTAATGCATAGATTAAATCTGCAATTTTTTACAAATTTTTTAAATCATTTGATACTTCATTTCATTAATTTAAATTAATGTACAAAATCAGTTTATGATTATCCGTCAATTTGAATTAATGAAATAAAGTATTAAATAATTTTTAAATTTTTTAAAAATTTAGACTTCATATATATATTAAGAACTTTAAATTCAATAATTAGATTGTTGAAATTTAATATAAAGTATAAGTTATTA